CAATAGGTTGAAAGAATTTAGATAATTTGTTTTACAGAGAGATAAGGGTCTGACATTTAACACAACCCCAGGTGCATGTGGTTTCTTAAAAAATGTCAAAAAGGTCACATGATTTTAGTGTACAAAGTCAGAAAAACAAGAGCTTTTTGAGTGTCTTAACTGAAATGGAGCATAAATAAAAATTCTCAATAGAAAAAGCAAGAAATTACTTAATTATAAGATTATTTTGTGTTTCTGTCCATTTTTGTTAATGATAAAATTAGTAACATCATGTTATATCATTTGCTATATATTTGGAGCCTAAATTTATGATTTCCGTACTGACTTTGCAAAGTGCAGTACAGCACAGGAATAATTAAGGCTTTAATAAGTATGTTTTTAACATTTTGAATATCATGGATTTGTCTCAAATGCTAATGGATGGGTTTCATCATAATAGAAATCATTATTTTCTTTGTGAAGCCAATTCATCCACTTTGAATAATGATCTTCATCTGAACCACCCATATTAAAAGTTACATACCTATGTTATTCATCTCCATTTGACTCCATTTGAGAGGAAAGTGGTCACATATTTACAGTAGTTTCACAATTAATGTTTTCTCTTACATGAAAGGAATGACTTTTCTTAGTTCCTGAAATTATATTCATTTTGCATTTTTAGTGATTGGGAGAATTGATCTTATTTAGGGTTGCTTATTTATCAAAAAGAACTCCATATTTGTTTCCATTGCTTGTATTTTGATTGAAGTTAATGTGGTTAAAATGTCCATGTTACAACAATGGAATTACTTAACTTTTCCACTTACTTTGTTTTACATTATAAGTTATGCTTATTTTGTTTTAAACTATAAATTATACCTGGTCTTTAACCTATTACTGTTTTAAAAATTTTTGTATAAGCAAGAAATAAATTGTTTCATTGTCCCAACAGAGCAGCTAAGTATTCTGAAGAAAGGTTTATAAACAAGGAAATGGTGACACAGCTGACTTAATGGGGCCACAAATTAAATGTTAAAGTTAGGAGGATGAAAGCGTCCCTAGTTCCTCATCCTATACCCCAACTGTGCCTTTTACCACAACTGAAGGCCTAAAGTCACATCCTGTATAACTCAACAGGAGCTGTATTTACTGAATTATTTCCTTGGGGTACGTGTTTTTCATAGTTTACTGTATACCCTAGGAAAGTGTAATTTTACTGAATGTATTCATGAAGATTTGATAGCCTATAAATTAGAACATATCAATTTCCTTTTTTGCACAAAAGTTATAACTAAAATAATGGAAACAAGGAAAGCAGCTACAATTATACTCTCCTGTTAAGTCCTTTTCCTCTCCACTCACCTCCAGTCCTTACCAAGAACCACATTTGCAGCATTTGAAATTTTGACTTATATTTTCTGGGGGGTTTACTAAGTTGAACTCTTCATTTGGAGATTTATATTTGAAGCCCAGTTCAGAACCTGGCTACTTGCAGAAAATATTCCCAAAGAAAATGTGCTCATTGAGTACAGAAGGAAGGAATCCCTTCTGTGGTTGGTCACTTTACTGGGAAGAGTTTATGTGGGTTCCTTTGACAGAATACTCCTGGACGTCATTGACTAGACAGGATAGTTAAACTCTTTGTAACATTACATCTACACTGTAGAAGCCATACTGAAAGGTTTTGGGGCATAGGTTTAAAGGAGACTTTCCAATCCCTGTAAATCACTGATACTTGCTCACAATTGAGTTTGGCCTTATTAGAGAGAAAAATGGCACAAAAGAAATAGGGTGCCACTTGAATAAAAGTATTTGTTTTGCTGCAACTTCAGGTTGATTACAGCATTCAGTTGGGGTTTCCATTTAAATAAACAAATCTTATTGATTACACTCATAAATCATCAAATTCAGATTTCATTTTACTGAGAATGTAAATTTCTTAAAGATTTATTTATTTATTCATTCATTCATTCATAAAGGTCAATTGCTACCATAGTCTGATTTAGGAGCCCTAAACAATTTTTAAAGCTTAGTTTTGTAGTTATAGATGGGTTAATGTTGCACAGATGAATAATGGAATGCAGATTATTCATTACTGTATAACCATTGCTTTCAATAGATGTGATATTCGTTCTTTAAAACTAGGTTCACATTAAGTGAAGGCTGGTAGCCTTTCTTAGGATAGGTAATCTAGTAAGTAATCGAGTTAGGAAATACTGTCTTTGCCAGGTATGTTAGTGCACACCTATTATCCCAGTACTTGGGAGGCTGAGGCAGGAGGATCGCAAGTTTGAGCTGGCCTGGGCTACATGAGAACCTGTCTAAATAATAACAGTAATAATAATAAAATAATAATAAAAGTAATAATAATACTATCCTTAAATATAATTGAGTTAAAAAAATACCGTCTCTGAATTCCTTTTGGAAATTAAATCAGTATAAATTTAATGTAGTTCGTAGTAAAATAGATGAATCAAATTTATATTTTTCTCCTGAAAGTGGAGTCAGCTTTATCCAGGTTATAGGATATGTAAGCCCTTCTTAGCTTACCTTTCAGGCTAAAGTCAGACTGATAGATGACAAAACTCCCTGATCTGATATTTAATTTACCATTTAAGAATTCATAGGTGGGAAACATAGGTTGTTCTGGGGTGGATTGATTTCTACTTAATTAGACTACTATACTACCTAAGCAGCAGGTGAGGGAAAGTCTGTTGCCTGTTGCAGAATCAGGAATGGGAATTAATCTATAAGGTAAGTATACCACATGTATATATGTACATACATATGTATGTGTGTGTGTGTGTGTATATATATATATAATATATATATATATATATATATATATATTTAGAAGTGTTTATTGTTTGGATAATATATATATTATTGTTGTGCTGGGTGTAGATACATTGTAGCATTTACAAAGGTTCTTACAATGTATCAAATATATCATACTTGAATTCCCCGCTCCACTTCTCTCCCCCCATCTTCCCCAGCCCTGATTCCTGGAAGTTTCAACAGGTATCATTTTTGCATTTACATATATGTGTATACCTTGTTTTCACCATATTCATCCTCCTACCCCTTTCTTCTCCACCTCCCCCCTCCTGCCAGTGCCAACCCTTTCCCCACCCCTCCCTCCTGTTTTCTGATTTTGTAGAAGAAAAAACATAAAAGATAAAATGAGAAACATAGGTTTTGCTAGTTCGAGGTAAAGATAGATACACAGGGAATTTCCTTGTGTTGTTCTGATGTATATATGTATTATAGCTCCAATTGTTTCACCTCTTCCAGTCCTCTTCACTACTCCCTAGTCCACTTCCCATGGTGGCCCTGGCCAGTTTAAATTTTCTGTATGCGTTCCTGTACAGTGAGCACATCAACCTCATTCAAGTTTTTGGTTTCCGTCCCTTGCCCTATCCCTCCCTTGCACAGCCTCCCCTTAGTGTGAGCTGTGTCCCATTATATTGCTGCATTTGTTTTAGGTCTACAATCCGCATATGAGGGAGAACATGTGGCTTTTGACCTTCTGAGCCTGGCTGACTTCACTTAAGATGATGTTCTCTTGTTCTGTCCATTTACGTGTGGATCGCAAAATTTCATTCTTTTTTATTTACCTTATACATTGAGTCAGTTTATGCACTGTTGACTGTTGAGGATGAGAAATAATAAAATGTGATTTTCTGATATCTCTTTATAAATGAAGTGTACTTGGTTTATACATTTTAATAGCATACTATCTGGAATTTTGGAAAACTACCTATTTTCTCAGCAAGGTCCACATTAGTTAAAAAATAGAGTATGTTGCTGGGTGTAGTGGTGCCTGCCTATCATCCAAGCACTCAGGAGAACATTGGAGGCCAGCCTCAAACAAAGAAAAAATACAGTGTCAGTGGGTCACTGTAGGTTTTTAATATTAATACTTACTATTCACTATTGATTTAATAATTACTAATTTAATTTAATTAACAGTAATATTTTAATACTTTGATACTTAATATTGAAAACTAGATTTAATTTTTTTTCGTACTGGGGCTTGAACTCAGGGCCTACACTTTGAACCACCCCACCAGCCCTTTTTTTGTGAAGGATTTTTTTCAAGATAGGGTCTCGCCAACAATTTGTCTGGGCTGGCTTTGAACTGCTGTCCTCCTGATCTCTGCCTCCTGAGTAGCTAGGATTATAGGCATGAGCCACTGACATCCGCCTAGATTTAAAATTTTTAATATCAATCTGTGGTTCAGTATCAGGTTGTTCTCCAATTTGAAAGGGACACTGAATAAGATGGAAATAAAATGATACCAAGACTGTTCTTTTGATTTTAACAGTCTTCCTCCCTCCCTCCCTCTTTTTTTTTTATTGGCAGGACTGAGGGTTGAACTTAGGTCCTCAAGCTTGCTACACAGGCATCTACTTTAACCACTCCACCAGCCTATAATCTCCCTTTTTATAAGGCATATGTGATGGTTAATTTTGATTGTCAACTTGATTGGATTGAGAAATGCCTAGAAGATTAGTAAAGTATCCCCTAGATGTTTCTGAGAGGGTATGTTCAGAGACCATTAGATCATGAGGGCTCTTACCTAATGGGTGGTTTAATCCACTGATAGATTCAAAATTTGAATAGACTTAAGTGGTGGTAGAACTGTGGAAAGAAGGGCCTGGTTGAAGGAAGTAGGTCACTGGGGGCATGCTTTTTTTTAAGTAGTGATACTGGTGTTTGAATTCAGGGTTTCGTGCTTGCTAGGTGTCTTTCTGCTTGAGCCACACCTCCATCCTGGGAGCATGTTTTTGAAGGTCCTATCTTGTCTTGGCTCCCTCCAGTCTTCCTCTGCTTCCAGGCTGAGGAGCTGAACAGCTCTGTTCCACCATGCCCTCCCTGCCTTAATGGACTGCAGCAAAATAAATCCTTCTTTCTTTGTTTTTGTCAAGTATTTTGTCACAGCATCTAGAAAGTGTGACTGACACAGCATAATAATGAAAGTTATTCAGTCTTTTTTTCATCTTTTTTTTGACAGGAACACCAGTGTATTCAGTAGCATGGGGCCCCGATTCAGAAAAAGTTCTTTACACAGCAGGCAAGCAGCTGATCATTAAACCTCTTCAACCAAATGCTAAAGTTTTACAGGTACTTCTCTGGCATTTGTAAATTGTTAGTTGGATCTGCCTAACAGCTAAGCTAGGGAGTACTTAAAATCCCTTTCTTCTGGGTGGTCTTTTTGTAGTAGGAAGTCTTTGAGTGTGTAGTTTGATCAACCTTTATTACAGAACAGGAGTATCTGTTTATATATTCAAGAAGGCTCATTTCCCCTTCATTCCAATTATGTTATAGTTTACAGGTGTACATATTACCTCTGACCAGAATGCTTTTTTAAAGTTTTTATTTTTATTGTTGTCATTATCTGTTCAAACACTTGAGCTGTCTCTAAGAGTATACCATTCTTGTAGTATTTTTAGAGTGGGGAGGAATCAGTATAATATTTAGAACAAATTATGTGCATATAACTTTACAAATAGCAAAGACTATCTTAAGGATCAATGTTGAGCTCACACTTTCTTTTGTACTGTTCAGAAAGGAGGGAAAGTTAATTTAGGAGCTAAGTAATAAAGAGGAGGGAAGGTTTGTTTAAGACAAGGATCAGGAAGGATGACTGTTCAGAAATAAGCGAGAAAGGGACAAACAGAACCACACATAAACAAGCAGAACAGTGATGGCAGTTAAGACAGGTCAGGGTACGACAAATAAATTCAGAAGTTTTAAGTCAATACGTAGATTTTGTTACTTGATTCAAGTATTAAAAGAAAAGGATTTTCTTTACATTTTGATAATGACACAATATAGTTTGGGTAATAAGGACATGGGCTTTGGAGTTAGTCACCTGGTTTTAAATCTTCATTTACTTACCTCTATGTGACTCCAGGCAATTTATAAAATGTCTTTGTCAGCTTTCTTGTCTTGTAGTTGGTGATACGAATACCTACTTAATAGAATTGTTACAAGGATGAAATAAGCTCAATTCTAAAGTGCATAGGACTGTACCTGACATGCAGTAAGCACTCTATGTAGAATAGAGATTATCTATGTTGTTTTGTTGCTACGAGTTAATATGCCATCTCTACCTTTTAATCAGCCAGGGAGGTTAGGAAAATAGATGTCCAATGACTAGGTTCTGGGCAAGGAATTTGGTGATGGAAAATGTCAGGTATAGCAGGTATAAAAGTTTTTTAAGAATCAGTAGGCTGGGTATGATGGGGCATGCCTGTAACCCTAGTACTTGGGAGGCCTGAAGCAGGAGGATTACAAGTTGGAGGACATCCTGGGCTATGTACTGAGTTTGAGGCTTTTACATTTTTACTGCATGCAGAATACTCTGCTAAGAATTGTGGGGACAAACAAGAGATAGAAGAAACAAGTTCTTGTCCTTGAACACCTAAGGTAAAGATTTAAGAAAAGGGAAAAAGCTGGGAGATAGGACTAGTTCTGACTGCCTTCAAAGTCCTTCCATGAAAATCTGCTAGGAATTACACAGCAAAGCCAGGCAAGTTGAATCTTTTAGTTTATACCTTTAGTTTATGGTTGTGTGAATTTAAATACCTATAATTAAGTTTATATAAATAAAACTTGGACCGAGTGCTGGTGGCTCCCACCTATAATCCTAGCTACCCAGGAGACAGAGATCAGGAGGATCATGGTTTGTAGCCAGTCTGGGCAAATAGTTCGTGAGACCCTATGTCACAAATACCTAGCACTAAAAAAGGGCTGGCAGAGTGGCTCAAGTAGTAAAGCACCTGTCTAGCAAGCATAAGGCCCTGAGTTCAAACCTTAGTACCACCAAAAAATTAATTAAAAAAAAATTGGAAGCTTCTTATATTAAAATGCTTTTTAATTAAAAATGCTTTTTGGGTCCAATAGACCTTTGGATTAGGAGATAGTGGAGAGAAGGAAAGTACCCACTGTCAAAATTCAGCTGGAGTTAAAGAGGTTTAGGCAGGAGGATTACTTGAGTCCAGGAATTCAGAGCCAGCTTTTATAAATCTCTTAAAAATGAAAAGAAAGAGATGAAATATCTTTTCATGTAGAAAAACCTGTACTTTTAAAGTCATCTTTTTGTTATATGGTAAATGCAACAGAAGATTCTCACTGATAAGAGAATGAAACTTAGGGGAATGTGCAGAAAAAGTGAAGAGAAAATAAAGATGTTCATGCAGAAGAAGTGAAAAGAAAACAGGCTGGGATATAGCTCGGTATAGAGCAAGCCTAGCATGTGTGAGGGCCTGGGTTCAATTTCCAGCAGAAAAATGAAAAGAGAATTTAGTAAACAAGCATACATTATCACTAATGGAACATTTATGCAAAGGGGACAGCAAGATGTGAATTCAACTGGTAATTTAAAACATATAATGTATTTATTCCAGTGTCATCACACAAATCTCAAGCCTGAAATAGTTCAGAGCAAGCGAGTTTCCATCTGTAGTCTAGGCAACTGAGCAAATTCACAGACTGTAACTATAAAGTGGATGTCATGGTGCTAGGCGCTTTCATTGGTGCAATTAGATATGAAACAGGCAAATGAGGAATTGCACAGTAGCAATGGGAAGAAAACAGGAATTCTTGAGGAGATGACCAAAAAAAAAAAAAAATCATTAGAAAGAGGCAAAGAGCTGGACACAGTAGTGTGCCTTAGAAGGCTGAGGCAGGAGGATTGTTTGAGTCCAAGAGTTCAGGGCCAGCTTGTGCAATATAGTGTGAACAGACCCCATTTCTTAAAAAAAAAAAAAAAGGAAAAGAAAGAAGTTAAGTGTCTTTTCACATAGAAAAAAACCTTTCACTTTTAAAGTTCTAAGTAATATTTTTTTTTCTCATAGTGGAAAGCTCATGATGGCATTATTTTAAAAGTAGATTGGAACTCAGTCAATGATCTTATTTTATCTGCTGGTGAAGACTGTAAATATAAGGTATGTAATATTTATAGACTTTTTACCTGATTGAAAGAATAAAATTTAGATGAGAAGTATTTAGCAAATAAGAATATTCTTCCAATCTAATGATTTAGCAAATTGTTTTCTCATTTTAAATGGCGTATTAAAGTCCTGTTGGCCTATAGGATTTGATTTAATAAATAGGAACATCAATTCAGGCCATAGTTTTAGTACATCAGTTTAAATCAGCTCGTTGAAGTTTTTAACAGTAACGCAGGCTGAAGGTTTTTCTCAAGTGGTAGAGCACCTGCCTAGCAAGCACGAGGCGTTAAGTTCAAACTCCAGTACCACTAAACCCAAATACCTAAAAAACAAAACAATAAGAACAAAAGATTTACGAACAGTTAACCCTACTGGTTTACTACATATTGACCAGTTTCAGACCTGAATAATTTGTGGATAATAATACTGTTTTTTTTTTTCTTTTTTGCAGTATTACAGGTTAAAATCAGGGCCTTGCACATGATAGTCAAGTGCTGTCCCACTGAGGTACACCTTCAGCCCTCAAAATAAGATTTTAATGTAACTGTAGTTACAGGAACTTTAATTGGAATGAATTATTGTAGAGAAAGTTGATACAGCCCTCATTGAACAAAAAGAAATTCAAGGAAAATACTAAACATCTTAAAATTTTACTGTCAAATTCAAAGCACTTAAGATAGGTAGGTTTAATAAAATTTGAAAATTATAATGATATAAAATATTTTTGAGCTATTTAGATTACAAGGAATATAGCAGTTTTTCTCCCTTGTATGATAATAAAAAGTTTAATTGTTAATATTATAAAGTTATGATTTCTTAATCTTTTTTGATAGTGTATTGGAGGATAAACTTATTTGTAATAATGTGGTGATTGTCATAAAAGGTTTTTTAAAAATTTGGTTTTATAGGTGTGGGATAGTTATGGTCGCCTTCTGTACAATTCACAGCCTCATGAGCATCCTATTACCTCAGTTGCCTGGGCTCCAGATGGAGAAATATTTGCTGTTGGATCATTTAATACTTTACGCCTGTGTGACAAAACTGGGGTAAGTTCCGTGGTGAGTACTCACGGATGTGCTGTCATAAATGTGGCCCTGCATTACACACATGGTTTTCGCTCTCTAAAATGTTTCCAATGAATGCATTTGACTGAATCCTTCTGACTTGTCTTCTTAGTCAAGAAGACAAGTTCATTTAGTGAATTCCAGATTTATGGGATCAAACAGATCGTTTAATTTTGATTGTTTAATGTTCTCTATTATTTGTCTTTCTGTAAATAATTGTTTTAAAAGCATGATTGTGAAAGATAGTGAAGTAGTTAAACTATTAAAATTTACTCCCATTCAGTATGGAGAGTAGTTTTAAATGTATTTTTGCAATCAGTATGTTTCATACAAAATTTTAGTTGCATCATATTTTTTTCTTTGCAGTACTGGTGTTTAAACTCAGGGCCTCATGCTTGCTAGGTAGGCACTCTACCACTTGAGCCATTCCACCAGCATATTTTTATAAGAAATTAATAGTAAGTTTAAAAAATATTCTTTTTTAAACCAGAGGACATATTTGTCTTTGTTAAGAATTCATGTTTGAATAATTGTGAGAATTTTCCTTATAAGAATATGGCCTTCTTTGTACAAATTCTGTTTAGAACCTAGGCAAACAGCCAAGGCCAGCAACATTTACCCATTGTTAGAGAATGAATTGTTGAAGTGCTCCCAAAACAGCAGCCTAATGTGGCAGAACGAGTCTGAGTTGTGTTAGTCAGTTTTCTGTCACTATAGCAAAATACCTGAGAAAATCAGTTTATAAAGAGAAAAGATTTATTTTGGCTCACAGTTCTGGAGATTGCAGTCCATGATGAATTGGCTCTATGTCTTTGGGTCTGTGGTAAGGTAGTACATATTGGCAGGAGTGTGTGACAGAGCAAAACCACTCACCTTATCGGCCAGGAAGTGAAAGAGAAAGAGGACCATATGGGGTCCCACAGTCTTCCTCAAGTGACCTAAAGACCTCTCGGAGCCAGCAGGAGACACCCTCCTGTGCTGTGTCCCTGGTGTTGTAACTTTAGGTCCAGTAAAAGGCTTCTCTTGCATATTTGAGCTTTTATCATTAGTAGGGTGGGCTCAGCTGGTAACATCAAGAGAGAACAGCAGAAATGTCAGCAGAGTGGTAGCAGCAGTGGCACAGGCAGTAGTAGCAACAAGAGAGCAGCGGAAGAATTCCAGAGAGTGGAGAGGGCAGAAATGATAGAGAGCAGAAGCAAGGAGAAGATGAGAGAGAAGGCAGAGAGCTGAGGCTGGAGAAAGACAGAAGGCTGTGAAGAGCCAGAGAAGAGAAACTGCAAGTTGTGGTTACTGGAAGACCTTCAGGGAGCTGTCAGGCCTCGAGGACCAAGAGTTTCGGACCCTATAGGTCTGAAAGATGTAGCAGTAGTTGCTGTGGAGCTGAGAGTCCCAGCACCCACGTCCTGTTTGAGAGCTGCAAAACTAGCAGGTGTCACCTGTTGTTGTCTGCTGCCGCCACTCACTGTTGCTGGAAGCCAAGGATTGCAGTAACCAGAGCCAGTGGTGATTAAAGCTCAGAGCAATATACTTCCAACCACAACACATAAAACCTGCAGCAAATAGGGCTCTGCCTCTCAGGGCTTGAAGCTGCAAGCCTCTGGGTCTGCCAGCCCAGCCCTAGGCCTTGGGCACTCAAGAGCCCAAGACTGCCAACCCTGCAAAAGCTCATCTTCACGTATCCAGGATTCCTATTTGGGTAGAGGAAAAGGACCCCAGCCAGCTGATTTGGTAATATTTAACGTCTTAGATGGGAGCCCAAAGAAGAAGGCAGAAAACGGTCTGTTACTTGGTTCTTGGAGTGAGCATTCGTAATTGTGAGGATCCAAACCTTTTCTGGAAACCTTGAAGTTTCTGTCTATGTCTATCTTTTCTTTTCCCACAAGACTTTCTTTTTTCTCTACATATTTCTATTTCCCATTTAGACATGAGAAAAACTTCAGGGATTCCAAAAGGTTTATCACTTGAGTGTCTAATGACTAACTGGAGTCAATTTAAATCAGAGTTCAAGAAAAAAATACTAGTTTCTTTCTCCCCTCCCTTCCCTTCCCCTCCCTTCCTATTTCCTCTCCACTATGCCTGGCCTTAATACTAACTATGAGGCAGTCACATAATTGCTCTATGGCTTATTTTCTCCAAATGCAAAATGAGGCAGTTAACTTAGAAGTTTTAGAGCTTTATAAGTGATTTGTTAAGTTGTTTGGTTACTTGTGTCCATCACATAAAATTATAGCCGTCAGTCCCACTTTCCAAAATCTGATGTTGTAAAACTCATTCAGTCTCTCTCCCTACAATCCCTGATTTGTAGTGTCTTCAAATCAGGTTGAACATTGACTCATGAGCCTTTCCTGCCCCTCACATCCTCACTCATTTTCTTTTGTCATGTTGTACTCTCACCTCTGTCTTTTACATAGTCAGTTCTATCCATTCTTTAAGGCCTATCTCATGTTTGACTTTCCTTTATCGTGCCTTCCATAGACAACCTAAAGTTGGTTCAAAACTATTTTTAAAATCTGTTTAAAATCTATTTTTCTAATTTCTTCTTAATCATAACATCAGGATGTTGGATTATGTCATCACTTAAGGTCCCTTTTTGTTTTGTTTTTGCACATAAGGACCCTGATTTACCATCAGTGATTCTATAGAAAATGTAGTCTCATTTTCACAATGTATTATACTCTCATATTGTCCATTATAGATTTTGTGTATATTATACTTTGACTCTCTAGTTTACAAGATCCCGTGGCTTAAAGGTTATTATATGTATAATATGGTATATGTTCAATAATTTATTAATAAGTCAATATACAAAATTTTCCATTTTGATTAAAATATTTAAAAATTTTAAAACTTAGAATTAATCTGAATAACTGAATTAAAGATTTACCTCACTAAGCACCATATATTTTTAAGAATGTTAATAATTCTGGAAAAATTAACTGAATATGTTACAGTTTTTAGAAGCATAAGACTAGCATTTTTAAAATATTAATTTGACAGATTAATTTATTATTTGATGGGCCCGGGGTTTGAACTCAGGACTTTGTGCTTGCAAAGCAGGCACTCTACTGCTTGAGCCACATATCCTGTTTATTTTGCTTTGGTTATTTTGGAGATGAGGAAGCATGAGTTACCAGGGTCTCCTGGCTTACATCCTTTTATTTAGTAGGCACTAAATATATATTATTCATCAGGCAGTGTTCTAGGAACTAGGGCTTGAAATACAAAAAGAAAAGTAAAGATTTTCACTTAAGTTGTTAACAACTTAGTGGAGAATCAGACTATATAACTGTGGTAAGTGATATACAGGAAACTTGTTAGGTACTGTGAAGATACAGAATGCTGATTGGACATCTGAGGCTTGGTGAATTAGTAGTAATTCTTTCTCTAAGGAGACATGATCAGAGGAAATGAGTTGCAGGTAAAAGAAACCTCATGTACTTGAAATGTAAAAGTGTGGTGCTTTTTGTGCAGTATCAGCAACGTTTTGCATGGGATGGTAGTAGTAATTGGTATGAAAAAGATTGTCTTCCTTTCACAAAACCTGTTTGCTGTGTGAGAGTCCAGATTTCAGTCTTAGAGAATCAAGGGATTGGTGAGGATGGAAAGGAGATAAAGGGGTTGAGCTTATGACCTCCCTTTCCATCCACAACAAGAGAGGCACCACACTGAGGTTTTACCATATGAGCCTCTGGTATAAGCGTTCTTTTGGATAACTAAAACAGTGAAGTTGGAATGCCAAAATAGTATGTTAATCAGTGAAGAGCTGTGGATGTTGGGTAGTAACATGATAGAATTCAAATATTGGAAATTATTGTTTTGATGTCAAAGGAACAGTGATATAGGAGAAGGAATAAAACAAGCACAGACAAGGGACTATAGTCTATAAGAAAAATTAAAGTTAAGCATGGCTGTTGTACTTTGGGTTTTATGCTAGGGCAATGGTGAGCCACTGATTTTTAGATAGTAACCTTATTAGATTTGGCATTTGTGGGGAAGCATACTCTGAGGTTGGCATGAAGAACAGACTAGAGAAGAGATAGATCGGAGGCAAGATGGCTAATTAGGATTTTGCAGTAGTACAAGAAAATGATAATGTTGGTCTGCATAATAGGGAGTAGCACATAGATGAAAGAAATAAATTCTCCCTCTCCCTCTCTCTCTGCTGGAAATCAAATCCAGGGCCTTGTACACACTATCCTCTGTCACTGAGTTGTACCTCAAACCTTGGTGTTTATTTTGTCCATGCCTAACTAAGATATATAGGCAAATAAATAACAAGACAAAAACCCAGGGCACTCACTACTTGGGTTGTCTCTTTAAGTTCTGTATCCCTAACCAGTCTTTCTTTCTTTCCTTCTAACTTTCAGTCTTCTTGTAATTGTTTCCTGCATTTTGGTTCAAAGTTGCTATAGTAATTAGTTAGAGAGTGTACTTAAGTACTTACTCTTTTTTTGTTCTAAATTGGAAGGTCCATCGTTTCTCCTTTGGCTTTTAAGGTATATATATTTGCATTGACTTTTTAATTGGTTGCTTTAGAGATTGTAATATGTATTCTTAACATGTCACAGGTTACTTATAGTTCATATTAGATTACAATATACTTAATATGTCACAGATTACTTATATCTCATATGCTATTTATTGTTCTATTTACCCACCTGTCCCTTATGCTGTAAGTTACTATTTATATCATACCTCACAGCAATATATTATAAGTTTTGCTTTTATTTATTTATTTATTTATTTACTATTGTTGTGCTGGGTGGGGGTATATTGTGTATTTATAAAAGTTCTTACAGTGTATCAAAATATACTTGGATGTGACCCTTATACCATTCTCCTGTATCTCCTCTTCTCCCAAGTTTTGCTTTTAAAAGGTAATGTTCATTTTTTAGGTTTACCTACATATTTAACATTTTTAATGCTCTTCTTCATAAAATTCCTAGTTTCTATCATTTTTCTTCAGTCTGAAAAACTTTCTT